GTCGCCTTTTACGATGACTTTCTTCTTGAATTTGGGCTTGCTTCCTTGCAAAGTCCTGTAGGGCCTCAGGGTAGGCATTGTAATTGTCACCGTGCGATCCTCGGAATACTTCTAGGGCTTCCTTCATTGTGTTGAAGTAGGCCCTCTCTTCTTCCACTCACTTCTGAAGGTTGGCCAGCTTCGAGGCCATATTCTTGCCTTGGTCAGCCACCAAGTCATCAATTTCTTGGGTCGTAGGTCCTGGAGCTGCCTCGGTGGCCTCAGTGGCTGGTGTTGCTCCCCCCGAGGTCGCTCAAGTAATCCGTCTTTCCAAACTTGCCATCCTGACCCAGTAGGCTGGATATGGGTAGAGTCAATAGAATTGTAACACGTAAGCCCAAGGTCTCACAGGAGTCCAGGGAACCAGGTCAAGAGGCAGTACAATAGGTCTATGTAAATACAGCGACTATTGACTGGAGGCCTTCTTCCGAGGCCTCCAACCCCTTTTATCTATGCACCTTGTGCCCTACTTTACCGAGCCCTATGGGCCCCTAATGAAAGGGACCTCACATGGTGGCACGTGATGGCCTTCCTTACATAATGTAGTCCATTCCGCTTTCACTAGCCTATCTAGCAAGCTCTGCGCCTTAGTGGACTAACCAGACTCCTGGTTCAAACATGTCGTGCTAGGCATTAAAGTCACCACTAATAAGACAGTTTGGTAGGGGGGCAAGGTAAGTGCATAGTCTAGCACCTGTGGGTTAAGGGGTTGCTAGTAGATATTAAGGATTGCAAAACCATTAATGTGTATCTAGAGCATGTCCCTACTTTCCATAGGGCAGCATTGCTCTGTCTTAAGGCCTGCCCGCTTATAGATGTAGGTCATGACCCTAGGGCCATTCTTCCTCTCATTGTTCTAGTTTAGTGTAGTTCTAGCTGTTTACTAGTGCATAGCAGTCATATCCTAGGTGGTTCTGTGTCTTGGTTCTAGGGAGGGTGAAGGGTTCTTAGATGTAGACCACATCCATCTTTTTAGAGAAGGTGAGGTAGAGTGTGGTGATATGGCGCGCTCTTGCCTATGTTTGCCTAGTAGACCTATAGGTCTCTGTTTCTAGGCCGTTTCTAGTAGTGTTGGTCGTAGCTTAGGTTGTGGTTTCCTAACATATAGGGGCAGTAGCGTTGACGTCTATGGCCTCTTAGGGGCTGCTAGGTGTTTGGTCTGCTAGGTTAAGGCTATAGCAGGAGGATGTGGTCTGCTAGGGGCATCCACTAGTGCTAGCTTAAGAGGATGGGGTACTGCTAGTTGTGCTGGCGTTTTCATGTGCTATAATAGCTGTGTCCTGTTTTCTCTTAGGTAGGGTGGGCTCTAGGACACCTACACACTAGGTACTACAGAGCCTACACTAGAAACACAACCTTAATCCTAGGCCTAAGGCCTAGTGACTAATGTTGTAATAGAGAAGAAGACAGCTATCACTAGACACAACCTAGGCTACTAGGAATACTAACCCTACAAAATGCACGAGATATACATAGTGCAACCACTATATCAGTTGAGCAGACCTCCACACCAGCCCTACGGACTCAACTACATAGAGAAAGCAAGATGCTCCTTTAGAGAGTTTGCTAGCATTAAAGAGGCAGAAGGGTTTAACTAGCATAAGGAAGGAGACAATCTAAGTGATTTTCCCTATCTATGGGTTTGCCCTATGTTAGGAGGGTCGGCAGCTTATAGGCCTCTGTTTCGCCTAGGCCTAGACTTCCCTCACTAACCAACTCTATAGTTTGGTAAGTATGTCACCTATAAGTTGGTGGATAGTGTTACGATTACAGCTCACAGCTTATCACAGCTTGTTACAGTTGTTACGGTTGTTACTTATGTTTTTTAGCCTTGTCTTCTTTCTTTTTCTGTGCGTCTCTTGCTGTTAACGGACCACTAGTTGTCTGAAGAACAGAGCGACTTCGGATCTTAGCCTTCTGTTGATTTGCAACCTTTATAGATAGTAAATTATGCTGTAGGACTGCAAGCTCTCTGTATGCAAGCATGTTTTCAGTACCGCGTGCCCAGGAATTCCACTCTAGAGCTGATGGACTAGACAGTAGATCTGGTATTCTCTAGCTTGCCAGTGTTGAAGTTTTAGCTCTGAATGTATAAATTTCGTTGGTGTTCTTGGAATTTCTTGACAGTCTTCTTGATGCTCAAGAGGAGCATATACCCTCATTTTCTTCAAAGCTTCTTGGGAGTTGATTGGCCACATTCCAGAGTCGCGAAAGGCTCCTATAATGGTTCCCTTTTTAAATGTGTTCTTGCGAATCTCTGATAAATCGCAGAAGAATGAGGCTATATTGTAATCAATATCTAAGCTCCGCATTGCGTGTTGAACTGCTTTCTTATGCCAGTGTTTATATGGTTGGAAAACACCAACATCAAGAGGTTGCATCACATGAGTAAGATGTGACGGAAAGGGATATGGATGAATATTCATCTCTGTAGCCCGTAGGACAAACTCTGGAGTTGTATGGCTTATATGGCTGTCCATAAGAAGCACTTTCATCGGTTTATTAGGGCCAGCATCTGTATGCTTTATAAAGTGCTCCAAAAATATCATCGCAAGCTCGCTGTTTGTATATCCTGAATCTGAAAGCAAGACTAATTCGTCGCCATTCAATTTTTCATGATACCAAGACTCCATATGCTGGCGTCCTTGTACAATAATCACAGGTGGATACTCTTTCCCAATAGCACAGATAGACTCAATCACTGTGACAGATTTGCAGTTTTCAGCCATAGGAACATACATCTTAAATAAGTAAGCTTAAAGCATCTAAGAATAATAAACTGTACGAACTTCTGTGATATATGCTGGAACAACCACCTCTTCTCCTGGTGCTACTCCTACTCGGAATCCAGTCTCATCAAAGTTGTAAATATCCTGTGGCTGGATATTATGCTGCGTACACCAAGCTAAGTACTCTGCAAACCAGTTTGTGACTGCAGATATGTCGTGAGAAGAGACACGCACTCGAGCAATTGCCTTAGTTTTAATAACTCGAAATAGATCTGGATGTGCCTTCATAAATCCTTGAAACCAGCGCCATGAAGGTGGTGGCTTTGATGGTATTTCTGATTTGCGCCTCTGAGAGTATCCTATTATGTCCTCCATGTTCAAGTGGTCGAGTATTTAGAGCGTCCTTTGCTCCCATGCGACGGAGGTTTGAGTAGAGGGTATTTTTATTGACATGGTATATTTGTGCAGCAGTGACAGGCTTTTCAAACGGGTTAACTCGAGGGCTTGCTCCATAGGATCGAGAGTATTAGAGTGTGAGGAAGCCATTTTGTCACAAGTGAATAGGTAAGAAAGAGAAATGTATGTGTTTTCCGAAGTAATTTCCTTCTCGGCTATGCGACCGTGTGCAACTTGCTTTCGCCGACCACCTGCAGGGTCGTCGGTGCGAACACCGACGATTATAGAGAGGCAGTGAGAAAGCCAACTACCTTGTTATAGAGGTCGTGGGCAAAAGTGCGATGCTCTAGGAGCTTGTAGGAGGACACAAACTTGTCTACTGTGCTAGCGAAATCGTACATAACTATGCGCTATATCTTAGCTTCCCTTTTAATGGTGTTAAGTTGGCCACTAATGGCTGCTGTTGCTTTGTGACTGTTAGGCACGCTTTCACCTAAGCTAAGGCGTAGAGGAGGCATAGTATTAGTACTAGGAGTCTTCTACTATCTCTTAGAAGTGTGGTTAAGGTTAGATGGTGATTGTGGTTCCTAGGGGTAGGTGCTAGGGCAGCTAGTGAGCATACGAGTATATGGAAGGGGAGGGGAGGGTAGGATGTGATTACGAAAGGAAAGCCTTGTCTAGCCCCACGTGATTTGTGATTTGAGATTTGACAACAAGAGCAGCCTTGTCACGGCTGTCACTCCTGCCATGGCTGTCACAGCCGTGTGAGAGATTATTCTGAGATCTGAGATGAAGAGAAAAGGATTTGAGAAAGGAAAAGAGAGGCGATACATGGATACAATGGTACGCTGGTACCTCAGGTCGACGGTCGTTTCATGTTCACGCTAGAAGGAAGTGACATTGGTACTAGTGACCTCTCGTAAAGTAGCTCCCCGGCTAAAAATGGTTCTATTGGAACTTAGTTTGAAGTATCGGTCGGATAGTGGGGGGGGGGGTGGGTGATGGGGGTGATTAGGGGGGATGGGGGTGATTAGGGGGGATGGGGGTGATTAAGGGGGATGGGGGTGATGATAGGGGTGATAGGGGTGATGGGGGTGATGGGGGTGATGGGGGTGATGGGAGTGATGGGGGTGATATGATAGGGGTGATATGATAGGGGTGATATGATAGGGGTGATAGAGGTGGTTAGTTGTGGATGGAGGCGTATGGAGCCTGTAAAAAGTTGATAGATATATACTTGTATATACATCTCTATGAGACCCCTATTTATCGGGCCTTAAAGCTCCCAACCGTGCCAGATCGGGAAAAGAAGTAATGATCTTCACCATCAGGACGCTCGAGAGCCGCTTCAAAAGAGGTCCGGTTCCACACGTGACAACCCACACAATACCGCCCAAAACCTCTTTCTTTCTTCCGTGCCCCGTGCCCCGTGCCCGTGCCCGCTACCACCTTCAGTCGCTGTTTAGTCGCTGTAATCCCTCCCCCCATCCCTTCCCCCGTCCCTTCCCCCCATCCACATCTAAACTTATCAACCAACATCACCAAACGTCACCAAATATCTTCCTCGCGTGAAGGAGAAAAACAAACAGGAGGCAAACTATTCCTCCTCAATCACCACGTCCGACTGCTGAGTCGCTCGCAATTGACGTCGCTTTCGCTTCCCCAGACCCCAGACCCCAGCCCCGTCTCGAAACGCACAGAAACCTCCCAACACCTCTAATTCGCTGCCTACCCCCCAACCAACCCCCGAGCCACCATAAGATCCCACCGACCTCACCTCTCCGCATCAGGACCTCACCTCCACTATCCCCAAGAGTCATCGCGACTCCATATACAATGGCATCCAAGGTACGGCAGAGACTACAATTCTGCGGTTGCTCTACCCTCACCGCAGGAGCTCTACAAACATGCAAATGGCGGAGCGAGCTAACACGTTCTCCTCTTGCAGTTTTTGCGCGAGTATAAGCTCGTTGTCGTCGGTGGTGGTGGTGTCGGAAAGTCGTGTTTGACGATCCAATTGATCCAGAGCCACTTTGTCGACGAATATGACCCTACGATTGAAGGTACGGCCCACTCTGCCTCGGCCGACGAACAAACGCGCATCCACCGCAGGAACTGACTGCTCTCCTTTTTAGACTCGTACCGCAAGCAGTGCGTGATCGACGATGAGGTCGCGCTTCTCGATGTTCTCGACACAGCCGGACAGGAGGAGTACTCAGCGATGAGGGAGCAGTACATGCGCACAGGCGAGGGTTTCTTGCTTGTCTACTCCATCACGTCGCGGCAGTCGTTTGAGGAGATCATGACGTTCCAGCAACAAATCCTGCGAGTTAAGGACAAGGACTACTTCCCAATCACTGTGGTAGGAAACAAGTGCGATTTGGAGGGCGAGAGGCAGGTTTCTAAGCAGGGTACGTGATTTTGTGTTTCCCTCTCCACATACGTTACTTTCTGCGTGCATAACGCGTCGGTATCATTTGTCGCGGGAACAATTATACTGACAGACTTCGTTTCCAGAGGGAGAGGCACTAGCAAAGTCCTTCGGCTGCAAATTCATCGAGACGTCCGCCAAGTCGCGCATCAATGTCGACAACGCGTTTTTCGACATCGTGCGCGAGATCCGCCGTTATAACAAGCAGATGGCAGGTAACTTCGAGGGTGGCGGCGGTGGTGGCCAGGGAAACGGCGGACCGCAGGGCAAGATGGAGATGGGTGAGGGCGAGAACACCAGGGGATGCTGCGGATCGTGTGTCCTGATGTAAGGTGTTGATGTGGTTGGAGGGGAGGGAGCGATACGTTGGATTACAATGGGCGACTTGAAAAAGGGAAATGCGCGAGAGTGCGTGGGACGGGGGTTGGTGGAGTTGGAGGGGGTTTCCATTCTAGCGGGTGGAGGACGAACGAAGGTATAGACATGGAGGTCAACAGGACATCAGGGACCGAGTTACCCACCCAACCATTTCTCGTTTTTTATTTTGTCAAAGTCTTTTACCTAGGAGTTTTTTTTTACCATATTAATTTCATGGGGAATCCCCCAGTTTGTGCGTCGTAGTTTTGTTCAGCTGGATATCCTCGTTTGTATGATGCTGTCCGATTTATCTTGTAGCGATTTTGGCTTGTCGCTTTGTGGGAGCGGTAGTGGGTGACGCGGAGTGGTGAATGGCAGGAAGTGATGAGATGGAGGGCGAAGCAGATCATGCAGGTTGCAAGATAGTTTGCCTCGTCGATAGGCGTCAGGCCTGAGGTCAATTATATTCATCATTCTTCATCGCCTACCATGTTTTGACAGGGACTGACAAAACTATATGGTGATGCAGATATCTCGTTCTTTGATCTAAACAGCAAAATTCAACCAAGTTGAAACAACAAACAACCCAACCCAAACGCTGCCAACTATCCAATGCCGCCAACTTTACAATGCCTCCAACTATCCAACGCCCCCTTCTCCTACGCTTCTACAGTATCACGCCTCATTTGGCATAGTTGATCCAAACCCAGCAGCTCGAACACCTCGCGACCCCATTGGCCAAAGTATACGCCGCCTCCTTATTCCCAGGTTCCACTCCACATCTTGGACAGAGTATAGCGTTGTCGGAATCTCGCGTCAGCTTTTCCCTCGTCGATATCATCCGGTTGCCCACAACATGGATCACCTTGTACCGACACGCATAGCACAGCCATGCCCGCATCTGAGCGTCGCAATCACAGTGATTATCCACCAACGTCTCCATATTCTCGAATGCCGTGCCGCTGATGAACTTATTCATCTGTGCCTGTGAGCATGTAGAGCAGCAAAACAAGTTCTTCTTCACCTCAATCTCCTCCCTGAGATGAGCCGTGCTTTCCTCTGCACGTCTGCGGCACTCCCCGCAAACGCACCAGTTCCTGTCTCCGTGCTCTTCGCCGCCGTCACAGTCCATGGTTGGGAGGACGTTGCAAAGCATCCCAGTTGCAAGGGTCTCTTTACACCTGAAGTTTTCCGCCCACGGCCGCCAGTTGACATGGGCTCCTGGTTGAGGATCGAATTGGCCGTTGGCGTATACATCTGTGCGGATACGGTAGTGGGGGAGAAGTGTCTCACGGACGTGTGCAGGCGGGAAGAAGAAGCCTCCGGGTGGTACTCGAGGGACCTCTTCCTGTGGAAGGATAGATTGTCCTTGGAGTCCCTGCGCAACTAAAGCGGCAGGGTCGACATGCTCCTGCGGCGGTGCCTGGGGTGGAGCAAAAGGGTTATTCCCGCCTCGCGGGGGGAACTGGTACCCAAACCCAGCGAGAGGTGGGTAGTCACCTCTCTCGCCCATCGGAATGTCGTCTCCCTCCTCAGGGGGCTCGTTGATGGTGGCCCCCGGCATGGTTGTGTCCCCACGGCCAAGGCACATCATACTAGTCAACCCATCCGCGGTGGCACACAAGGAGCAAGGCATTTTGCCATCACATGGCACGTCCATCTCTATGCACCTGGCACAGCGTTCTTCAAAGCGACACTGTAGCGCCGTCCGTCCGTGCTGAATGCACGGCAAACATGGCCGATCTCGCGGATCGCACCCTTCGAACCCATACGCGACGCAGAAGGCGCAGCTATAGTCGAATTCCGGCTGTCCTGTGAGGTGAATGTACGGCTCGTCATCGGATTCTTCTGGGTTATCGGGGAAATATATTTGGGGACCAAGGCCTTCGGGACGGCACTCGTCGGCGCCGAATCCGAGGAACATGCAGTGCTGGCAGGGAGAACCAGCGTCGCATGGCATCTCGTTCATGAAGCAGAGCTCGCATGGTCGAGAGGTCCGGCAGTCTTCTGCCTCTACGATACCTCGTACCGAGCATTCCCAGCAGGGAGAGTCTTGATCGCAGATGCGGTTCTCGAGATCCGCTGCGCAGTGGCTGCATGGTGGCTTGTCATCGTTGAAGGGATTGTAGAGGCTGTTGCGGAAGTTATTAGGGTTGATTCCAGGGCCTTGCCCGAGCGGCTGGGAACTTGGGCCTGCTTCGACGGGTGGGGACTGGGACGGTCCTGCAAATGGTTCTGAAGATGGTCTTGCAAATGGTTCTGAAGATGGCCCTGCAACTGGTCCTGAAGGTGGTTCCGAAGATGGTCCTGCGACTGGTGGTGCAAATATTCCTACAGCTGGTCCTGCAGCTGGTGGGTATGGACTTACATATGGTTCTACAGCTGGTCCTGCAACACCTGGATGCCCTGGTCCAAAGTTTAGGACCTGATAGCCCCGAAGGACGCCCGGTATGGCCACATTGCCTGGAACTTCAAGCCGATCACTCGGTGGTGGCCAATTCCTCATATCTGCAGAAGGTCTAACATTCATGCGCTGCGGAGCGGGTGGTAGACCCGTGCCGTATGTTGACATAGGTATATCTGGACAAGATCCATCGGGTTTAAGGCCAACACACGGAATATTTCTGCGCAGACACACCAAGCAGGGGATTTTGCCGTCGCAACGTAGGTGGTTTCTGGCACACTCAACACATTTGTGCTCCCAGTGACAGTTCGGACATCGCCTCACCGGAAGAGGCGATATATCACACTCCAGACCACTCAACCGGCACAGGTCGCACGGCCCCGGAAGCATCATATTGGGCATAAAACACCGACCGCCCCTACTCTTGCATTGGCGGCATTGATCAATATCCGGGCGCCAGGGCTCCACTCCTTGCAGCTGTCTCGCCCGGTTTATATCGAATTGCCTTCTATTAGCTCTAATGCACACGATCTCCCTCGCCTCGCACTCAATACACTCATCGCCGCCATGACACTTCAGCGGCCACGTCTGCCCCCTCGAGCAATGAGGGCAGTTGCCGAGCTCCTCGTCCCTCTCGATCGCACTCCTCGTCACCCTCGTCGCGCCCGCATTCAGCTTATCTACCAGCTCCCGCCTGGGCCTCTTCCTCTTCGGTTCCTCCACCTCCCCACTACCCCGGGTAGCCTCGGCAGCCTCAGCAACCGCGCGCACCCGAGCCCGCCTCGCCGCCTGCATTGCGGACATTTGCTCCCGCGCTTTGCGGCGTCTCTCGAACGACCCGGGGTCCTCGCCGGGCCGGGGCTGGATTTGCGAGGCGGTTGACAGGGATGGTGTGAGTGTGGCTCTCTGGACTCCATGACCATATAAGGGGCCGGGTGGCAGGATACCGGGGGCGCATTGGTTGTTTGGGTCGAGCGGAGGGGCGCCTGCGCCTGCGCCGGGGTCTGGCGGGTTGGTTCCCCCCTGGCTTCGCAGCCCGGTACGGCTTCCTAGCCCTCCTTGCGAGACTCCTTTTTGGGGGGGCATGGCGCCCTAGCTCTTGTTCGAGCGGTGTTTGGTGAGTGGAAATGTGTGCTTCGTCGCGTTGGGGAGCAGTGAATTATTGTCGTTCGATGGATTGAGAAGTAAAACAAAAATTGGAGGGGGCCTATAGGAATGGGCATTTTAAGGGGCGGATGGGTATACGGAGAGTGCTTTGTCTGGGAGGGGGTTCCTTTGATGGGCGAGGACGGCGAGGGAAGACAAGGACGGGTGTGTGAATAAAGATGATGTGAGGTGAGGACAAAAGAACTCGAGGACGAGGGATAAAGGGGGTGATGCTTGCGGATATTCTTTGTTGTGGGCATGACCGACTCGAGGACGAGGAGAGATCTAACAAGCATTTTGCCTGCTTTTCGGAGTCGGGTTCGGGCTGTGAAGGGATTTCGAGGGAACCATCTATGGACGATTTGTATGGCATCAATATTTGGGGATTCACACGGCATATACGTAGGGTATTAGGTGGTGGTAATATATAGTGTTTATACATAACGTGGTTTATCAGTACGTCGGACATATCAGTACCTCGGACACTTTTCATTGGCATTCTACTTTGAATATCAATAAATCAACCATAACATATTAAATTAACTATAACTAAGCGGAATCAGATGAACTAGACATATCTATAGCTTCTTGACAAGTTCGCGCATTATGACCAGCTTTTCCACAGATCCCACAGCATCGCCTAGACGGTTGCCCCTCCTTGTGACTACCCCCAACAGCACGTACGTCGCGTCGTACCTGCTCATCCACATCCTTCTGTGCGATAATAGCCTGTGCATCCTCTACTATAAGTGCACCTCCTTCACAGACACGAGCCTTTTTAGCCCTGCGGCGTTTGCTAAGGGCTTCGTTGGCTGCTCGAAGGGTACGTACCTCAGCAGACAGAAGGGTGTTCTCATGTGCTAGTCGCTCCGTACCCTTTGCCAATGCAATAACTGTCCCGAAGAGTGGAGTTGGCGAGCTTCCTTGGTGACGGGCAATTCGATTTCGAACGAGGGTTGTTTGTGAAAGAGCTTCAGTTGGGTTGGAAGGGGTCTGGGAGACCCAAGGGTTGGTGTTGGCAGTAGAGGGTCTAGAGGGAGTTGGAGTCCGTAACCTCACGTCAAGCTTTGAAAGCACTGCTTGCGGGTCGAAAGGCACTAAGCCAGCTCCGCGGAACCCGGACTGGGCGTTTTGGGCTGTCATGGATTCCAGATATGCTGCTCTAAAGGCGAGAAAGAACTCGACCTTGGTAATGTGGTTGATATGAGCCTCAATGAAGGTCTCAATCTGCCGACCATATGCCCGCTTCAACACACTAAAGCACCCGACATCAAGTGGCTGAGTTAAATGAGACGAGTGGGGAGGTAGTCCAAGAGTTATAATGTTGTGTGCCTTGCAGTACTCTTGGAACTCGGCCGATTCATGACTCTCGTGCCCGTCTAACACCAGCATTCGATATGGACCCCTTGCACGAACAGCAGTATGTTTGTCGAAGTGTTTCAACCATTCTAGACCCGTCTCATTGTTTGTCCATCCATTGCTTGTCGGTTTAACAACCCAGTTGTGTGGAAGGCCGCCGTCTGTATACCAATTTGCAAGATGATTCTTGCCTTTAACTACCAAAAATGGAGGAATACTCCAGCCGTCACTGTTGATACAAGCAATCGCTGTAGCCCATTCCCGATTCCCTGGCTGAACTGCCTTACCTCTGCCAAGTCGATCTGCACGGGTAACAACCATTGCAGGGCAAATCACACCCATCATAAACCCAGTTTCGTCAAAGTTATAGAAGTCGCAGTCCAAAACACCATATTTTGCCCTCATATTTTCCACTAGTCGAAACCACGCGCCAATTAGTTCAGGATCTTCGCACAAGGCCCTTTGGAAGTCGTAAACGCGATTAAAACGCGTCTTTAATTCTGGACGTCGTTGTACAAATCGGTGGGCCCAGAGCTTCCCGACGCACCTCCCTCCACGCGACTCGAGTATAAAATTTGCCATATCTTCTACACCAGCAAGCCGGGGTGCAAATCCTCTTGAATCCATATCAAGTATATTCCGAATAACCACCTCCTCTTCTAGTATAGTTAATTTCATCATTGCAGGCCGGCGTTCGTAGACAGTAGTTCGGCCGTTCATTCTGTCGCAGAGTGTAGAATGAGGTACTTCATAGAGCTTAGCAGCCTTCCGACGACTTAGATTTTTTGATGTTCGGATAGCCTCGATAGCTAGAATGATTTTTGCTTCTTGGGTAATCACTGACATAATAAAAGGTGGAAAAAACGCGTTGTGAAGTTAGAGGGTAGGAAATTCGGGAAAAGTGTCCGAGGTACTGATATGTCCGACGTACTGATAAACCACGTTATATTTGATATGATAAATATAAAGGGGTAAATCTTCGAACTGAATAACTTCTTCCCCGGCCAAATGAAGCAGATGCTCAAATGCATGGTCGTTTATGGTATATTGTATTTGTAAGATATAGATATTCTGAGGCCCCTCCACGGTAAACAGTATGCATCTGGAGAAGACGACGAGGTTGCTTTGTTGTTGAACCTCATCACGTGGGTTGACCAGTGTTCAGCACGGATACCAATATACCCGTGGTATCCGGGTATATCCTCGAGTATATACCTACCCGGCGATATTTTAGGAGTATCCGGCGTATCCGGATACTCTCGAGTATATATCCGGATACATGCCAAGAATAGCCAAGCGCAGCCAAGACCTCTTTTTTCCAACGTCGTGAGATCTATATTGATGCTGTATAAAGTGATAATTATCCTCAGAATGAGCGACTCGTCGTTATCAGATATACCAACGGAGCCTGAGGGCTATAATAGCTATGATACTCATAATGAGCCAAGTCTGCCAACGCTGCCGCCCCCTATTCATATTCAACAGGATATTAATCCTACACCGCTCCGGCTTCAGCCTCCAGGACGAATGCTGCCACCAACGTCGTCGGTACTATTTACGAAGCTATTATATTCGCGATTGATACTTGATAGTAACCCACCTACAGTCAAAGTAACTTGCTTACAACCAGGCTGCGGATATTCACCTACTCCGCAGCTATTAAGTCAGACTTCAACCGGTAATCTTTGGAAGCACTATACGCAGAAGCATCCAACAGTAGCATATACAATGAAAGGTCATACAATTACGCCGTCAAGCCCATCAAGTAGTGCATCGTCATTTTTTGAGCCATGGCCGCGGAACCCGCAAGTCCAGCCCGCTCAAGCTCAAGCATCAAATAGTAGAGCGAAATCCGAGAGTTATTACTCTCATTCGTTGTATCAAATAACCTCTCCTTACGACTTATTGAGAGCTATTCGTTCCATCAATTAGTACAGTTCTTAAGCCCAAGTACTCTATCGATATCGTCGCGAACACTACACTGAGAGCTACAGCGGCAATTCTCATATCACCGAGGATTGCTACAATTAGAACTCCAGGCTCATATTACCTATGGCGGCCGGATATCTATACAACAGATGCATGGACTGCACGGAACTATACAGAGTACGCTGCTGTCACAGGCCATTGGATTAATGAGAAGTGGCAGCACCGGTGCGTATTACTTGATGTAATCCACCTTCAAGAGCCAATTCATAGCGGCGAATATCTCGCTCAAGAGTTAGCTGCAGTAACAGATAGCTTCGAAATTACAGGTGCTATATTTAAATGTACGCGGGATAATGCCTCAGCGAATACTGTGATGCTTTCAGAATATGAGAAAATAGCCAGTAAGCAGCAGACGACTATTCAACAGCCATGGACGTTTACTGTAAAGGAAGGGGACGTTCGGTGTATTGCTCATATTATCAATCTTGCAGTTCAAGCTACTCTAAAGAGCTTGAAAGCTAGCCTGGATACAGAAACAGAAGCGTACTGGTGTCAGCAAGGGCTTGCCCGGATTCCGCAGCGTATTGATAACTCTTCTACTGAAGTATCAGCTACGCTTGAGAAGCTCCGAAGGCATATTTATGTCTTTCGAAACCGAAGAGCATGGAAGGATGCTTTACAGAAGCAGATACAAGCTGCAGGCCAGAAGCCACGCCAGCTATCACTTGATATGCCTATACGCTGGAATTCAACGTACTATATGCTTGAAACAGCTATAAAGCTTCGAATACCAATTACTGCAGTATGCTCTACGCAGAAGCTTGATATCAGTATGAAGGATATTGCGTTAACAAGCAACGATTGGGCTATTATCGAAGCTCTTGAACGATTATTCTTAGTATTCTTAAAGCCGTCAAGACGGCTACAAAGCGATTCATATCCAACGCTCAACTTTACAATTCCTCTTTACTTAAAGATGATAAATAAGGTCACATTACTACAAGAAGAGCTTGGTAGAAGCTCTACGATCGGAGTAGCTTGTGGAGCTGCGCTTCAAAAGCTTAATGAGTATTATACTCTTACAACGAATCGGCAATGTAAGCACTCAGCTGTTGCTACAATTTGCGACCCACGAATGAATCATACAGTATTTAAGAAGATATATCCAAATGCTATAGACGATACACGAAGATTACGAGCAAGAGCGCAGTTCGAAGACGTTTGTAGAACGTACCAAAAGCGAGAGTATCACCTTGATACGGAGCGAATTACTCACGAAACAGCTCTTGCAGAAGCAATAGGTGCTACTGCTACAATAGATCAAGAACCTGATTCTGATGAAGATCTATTTGCGTCAGAAGGCTTGGCTTTTCAAGAGCCAGAATGGAGGCGCTGGATGCTTGAACCACGGCCCGGTGAGCATACTGATATTCTCAAATATTGGTGCGCAAAGCAATACCAATATCCAGTTATTGCCCGTATTGCTCGTGATCATCTAGCTATTCCAGCAACATCTGCAGCATCGGAACGAGTATTTAGTAATGGTAGTGATATTATTACAAAGAAGCGGAATAGGTTATCACCGCCAACTATTAGATATTTACTTTGCTTACGGAATTGGGGTAAAATACGGGAGGCTGATAGCAACGGCGATGATGCTGACGATGAAGCACCTGAATAGGGACTCGCAGAAAGGGGGGGTCTCACGGAAAGGGGGCTCGCAGAAAGGGGTTTACTACTATTATCAAAAGCTTCATTCTTTTTTATATACGCTATTCTATTTTTATATACAATATTCAGCCTCATGTATCCGGATATATACCCTACCCTACCCGTCAGATCGTCGCCGGGTATATACCCTACCCGTGAGCTTCACGGATACTACCCGGATATGTATCCGCCGAACACTGGGGTTGACATTCCCGCATGCAGCCCGCGTTAACTGTTGAAAACCATTGAACTAGACAAAAGTGGAACGCCCACACTTTCGCAGGTTCAAGTCAGTTTATATTTTACAACACATGTGTTGCCTCCTATAGTCGTAGTTGCATAGTTTAGCATAAGAGTTTTCGTAGTAATGATGTGTCGGTTTAGCGAAAGCAGCATACCTAGGGGTATACTGTGTCCTAGGCTCATAACTGTTAAGTAACATATGTCTTCTTTGTCTAAGTATATAGCTGCCTGATATTTAAGTGA